CGCACCAAATCTTACCTCGTCAACCAAATAAAAAGACACTAACTTGGTGTTCCCAGGAGTGAACACATACAACACATAAACATACAGTTAGACTCCAGACTCTTCACTATCCGCACGCGAGGCATCGGGACTCGTCTTCGTCACACACCATTCATCGATTAAATCTGATGGTAATTCGGGGACTGATGACCACCTCCCTTACATACACCGTCACTGCTAGATTGTCCTAGCATCGTCCAACTTACTAATAACCTCCAGGAAAGCTAGTCCACCATCTCAGAAATTACACACCTGCCGGTGGTTGCGTGTTTGTTTACCCTCACCACGCCGCCTCTTAGCCCACATACGGAGAACTTTCCTGTCTCAGGTGGTATAGTTATATTGGCAATATTAGCTTGACTTTGATGATTACACTACTGAGTGCGAATCCTTCCTCGTCCTGTCTTTTTTAACCACTTGGTATCACCAACATAACTGTGGTAGACGTTCATTTTCCCCCTCTGGTGACCGCTATAACCCTCCAGATCTTATTGATCTCATCTCATTTCATCTTCTCCCCAAGCTTTGACCCGTGATAATACTCGCCATGGACGACCTGTTTGGCTGTTGTCCACTCCACCTTATCTGTGCATTCCGAACGAAGAGATCCCCGACCTAAAAAGAGAAAAAACAACAACAAATTCTACGCGCAATATTACATTGGTTTCGCTCACCCTGAGAAGTCCCCCGGCAAACGCACAACACTCCGCTGATCGCAGGACTGTGCATCTCAGCCTGACTGCCTCAATCACGACGTCCGTCACGTGGCTGTCTAGAAACCCAAGTATTTCAGTGCATTGACGGTACGGCACTATGATACCCAGTTTGATAGCACACCCGCAATTGTTCACTTTCTACTTTGACCGCGCCCTCTCGCCCACTTGTTCCCTTACCGGGAACCACAATCAGTCTTCGGTTGTCACCAGTCAGCACCGAGAGGCGTTCATTACAATCTGCTGAACCTCCTATCGGATGTAAAGATCTCGGTGACTTTTATTCGTACTCCTCACAAAGTCAGTCAGTTTTCGTACAATTTGCGTGAACTCGTTCTCCCAATAACTTTTTCACTCGATCCTGCCCCAGCAGCAACACTAGTGAGTCGCTCACTGCACACTGTGATTCTGGGTTTCCTGCCACCATTTGTCCGCACTGAATATTACCCTACTTCACCATCCCTACTTGCGACTTCCGTGGCCGTACGCCCAACAGCCCGAGGCCATGAAGCCCTAGTAATGGTTTTGGGTTTATTTCAAATTGGCCGGTCGCGTCGTGGCAGTTCTGCTCTCTCCAGATAAATTATTCTGGCTCCACATTCCCTGAAGTTTGAAGCTTTTTGTTTTTTGTCACGTTCCAGGCAGGAAACTTTTCGTTGTACCCCACTCGTATTGTTTTTCTCGCCACTTTTAAACCCTTAGGGTCAGATCTTGTGTCATCTGATATGTTCCCCATAGGATACGAAGAGCCCTTGTAATTTTGGATCCCTTCCCATGCCACTTCAGGTGTGATAAAGTCCACTTCTTTAGCGACCACTGTTTACGTCGCCGTCCCTTTTCCAGGAAATTCCCATTAGTCACAACCCCCGTCAGTCATGCTCATATTCTGACTGTAATAGTATGACCATGCCTGACGGTATGCCACCAACTATTTGGGAATAAATGTTATTATTATGATTTGGTTTAGTTCGGCTAGGCGTAAATGAAACGAAGCAGCAGAAATTGCGCAGAGTAACAGAGTGATCCGGGGCAGGGACCTGGCCAGAAGTGACGTGGTACAATTTGCCTGGGGAGGAAGACGGGCCACAGCACACAATGAACAAGCGGATATTGCTGGCAGCCGTTTCTTGAACGAAATCGGAGCGATAGCAAGGCAATTATGAGGGTGGTTTTATTATTTTCGCCAACTTACTTTACCGTCGTGCCCGATTCATAGAGATCAGGAGATAGTTGGGTATTAATTAGGAGTGACAGCGGCCTCGCAAGTAAGGAACTGCAGATAAGTATGATGATGTGTGCTATGTCAAAACTAACCGGGTAGAACGTACCAGGTGCAAGCGCAGTAAACAGGAGCAGTTGTTGTGTAGGTTTGTACGAGCTGGAGGAAACAACGCGTGCTTGTTGGGATTTTTGATTTTATAGTGACCATGTGAGCTATCGTTTGGCCCAACCTCTCGCAAAATTTCCTCGAGAAAAAACAGATGGTGTAGAAGAGTTACATCTAACTTGAACCTTCTGACCACAGTGGATAAAGGCCCAAGATTATGCGGCGAGGTCGATGGGAGAAATGGATGGGCTGTGAGGATAACTTTTTAGTGAGAGCCGTGTGTTTATTGGGTGTTTGTTAGAGAATATTTCCTCCTGGGCCATGCAGGTCTCGGAAAGATCATTTGAGGAGTGGATTTCATAGCTACTGATATATCGGATGGTTTTGGCATGGTCGCGGAGATTTGTTGCAATACTTCGGCAAGAACGATTAAGTAGATGTGGACAAATTTCCCTTGACAGACTGGGAGGTGTCCTCTTGGTAGCGTGAAATAGCAACAGCTTTCAGCGTGTGAAGTTTTTGGAATCCTTCTAAATATACTAAGATACTAAAGAATATGGACTAGTCAGTGTACACTCAAGGCACGGGAGCGGATAGTTGGCGCCTGAGATGAAGAAACCAGCTCACGAGCATCCCACTGCTAATAAGGACATGCTAATTCTAATGTATGGTGACGATGCAGGACTGTCTCTTCTAGTACGCCGCGGGATATATGTAACGAGAAGAGGAAGGAGTGAATTTAGGGTTTGACGCTTTTTATGGAACAGGACTTGTGGTCCTAATATGCAAGCAACTCTAGTTCGTATTCTCCATTGCATCCTCATTTCACATTAGATTTTGCTTGGCTCAATCAGAGAAAAGGACAGATACTTAGGGCGCAAAGGGACAACGGAAAGAAACAAAAATTCAAACAGTGGATTCAAAGTAAGAAGATGGGGGTGGGATGAAAATGAGAGAAGGATGCTTTTATAATGAGGGCGGAATGAAACAAAGCTAATTGTTACTCTATGGCCTACCGCGCACCACATCAATTTGGTTCGTCCATAACCCATCGGCAAGCCAACAGTGCGAATTAATTTTGAAGGTGCTACAAACCCGTATTTCTTCACGAGAAGCCGCAGCTCTTTTGTATCTGTGGAACTCATGGAATACTTTGAGTCCCAACTACCTTGTTACGCATCACTTTAGGATTTGTAACTTTGGGGACAAGAAACGAATTTCGACAAGTTCAGCTTCAGGCTTTTCGGGAATGTTTTTTCGTTTTTGGTTTTCATCGTCAACCCAATCACTCCGCTTTGATGGCTTCGAATATTCGAAACTTAAAGCTCATTTCTGAAAATCTTCCTACTTATTGTCTACTAGTCCCAGTTGCTGCCCACGTTGCCAATCGGGAGGACACGCGACTAATGGTCTATGGTTAGATGACTACTCAGGCTGGCACCACATGGCTCCCATAAGTATTTCCGTTAGGAAGTATGTCACCCTATCTGATATGTATCGGGATCGGGTACGATCTACGTCTATACGCGAACTGAGAACGAGCGCACAACTCCCCAGCTATGACGCGAGCCCGACCACACCTAGCGAAGAAAGAGAAGACCAGACCTTCACAACAGGGCTTTTACTGCCCCAACCAAAAGCGAGTTACAGCGAGAGCAACGTCGTATATATATGTATATATTTATATATGTCGAGCGACCTTGGGGAACGACAAATCAGTTAACGCAAACAAAGTATAACTGGTCAATAGGAAAACAGCGTGGTATATTTGGATTGGTGTGGCGGAAAAGGCGCGAAATTTAAAAATCCAAATTTTTTTGAAAAATGAATTGGCAATAAGTCGGAAAATAAGTCGTTTTTGGGGATGCTGATATCCCAACACCTCCCCTTGAGGAAGGAAATGTCAGTACCGGAGTTTTCGGGGGTCCGATCGGAAAGGAGTGGTTTGGTGTCGACGGCGGTCTGTCCACCTTCTTGGTAGAAGGTTCGGCTCACAGGCTGGTGCGTTTTGAGTCGCCGTCTGGACTGCATCAGGTGTGATGGTCTTCAGTTCAAGTGTCAAGAAGTATGTCGAGTGGAAGGTCGCTCTGGGATGCCGGTGGCTCTAATAGATGACGTAGACTCAGTTGGTTCTTGTGTCGGTCCAGATATCTTGGCCCACAGAGATGTCATACATTACGCTGCCGCGTTTCCGTAAGACGTGTCCTGCAATCCAGCGTTCGTGCCTTGGTCGATAGCCTCACACAAAAACACTTCCGCCTATTTGAAACTGGTTCGGGTTTGTGTTCTAGATGACTACTCAGGCTGGCACCACATGGCTCCCATAAGTATTTCCGTTAGGAAGTATGTCACCCTATCTGATATGTATCGGGATCGGGTACGATCTACGTCTATACGCGAACTGAGAACGAGCGCACAACTCCCCAGCTATGACGCGAGCCCGACCACACCTAGCGAAGAAAGAGAAGACCAGACCTTCACAACAGGGCTTTTACTGCCCCAACCAAAAGCGAGTTACAGCGAGAGCAACGTCGTATATATATGTATATATTTATATATGTCGAGCGACCTTGGGGAACGACAAATCAGTTAACGCAAACAAAGTATAACTGGTCAATAGGAAAACAGCGTGGTATATTTGGATTGGTGTGGCGGAAAAGGCGCGAAATTTAAAAATCCAAATTTTTTTGAAAAATGAATTGGCAATAAGTCGGAAAATAAGTCGTTTTTGGGGATGCTGATATCCCAACACCTCCCCTTGAGGAAGGAAATGTCAGTACCGGAGTTTTCGGGGGTCCGATCGGAAAGGAGTGGTTTGGTGTCGACGGCGGTCTGTCCACCTTCTTGGTAGAAGGTTCGGCTCACAGGCTGGTGCGTTTTGAGTCGCCGGCTGGGCTGCATCAGGTGTGATGGCTGGCCTTTCAAGTGTCAAGAAGTATGTCGAGTGGAAGGTCGCTCTGGGATGCCGGTGGCTCTAATAGATGACGTAGACTCAGTTGGTTCTTGTGTCGGTCCAGATATCTTGGCCCACAGAGATGTCATACATTACGCTGCCGCGTTTCCGTAAGACGTGTCCTGCAATCCAGCGTTCGTGCCTTGGTCGATAGCCTCACACAAAAACACTTCCGCCTATTTGAAACTGGTTCGGGTTTGTGTTCACCTCAGGTCGGGAACGAGCCATCGGTGCCGGACACATGGCCGAATTGGTAGTTCGCAATTTCCGGCCCATGAGCGCTTCGGTGGGTGACTTCCGATCTTCTACAGATTCATTTGGAGTGGTCCGATAGACCAAAAGAAATCTCTGGAGAGCTTCGAAGGGCGTCCCCTCTCCTCGAGACTTGAGCAGCGCCCGCTTGAACGTATCGACAAAACGTTCCGCCTGCCCGTTATACTGCGGATTGTGTGGTGGCGAACGGACGTGCGGGATGGTGTTTTCCCGGCAGAACTCTTGGAAACAGCTGGAGAGGAACTGTGATCCGTTGTCTGATACCAAAGTCTCCGGTAGGCGGTGCTGGCTGAAGAGCTGTGACAATGCTCGTATAGTGTTCGTTGTCGTTGGTGGGACGACAGCCACAAC